AAATGGACTACCGTTATTTTTTGGAACTGAAATGAGTTCTGCGTTTTTATTTCAATAAATACTCATTGTATATTCATCGTGTGTTATATTTAAGTGTTTTGTGAAATGGCACCTCCGGAAAGCAAACAAATTTCAAAGAACAGCAGGAAATTATGAAACTTCATTCTGAAGGGCTATTAATTCACGAAATTTAAATAAAAACAGGTAAACTCCGATCCACAGTGCAGAATATTGTGACGCGAGGAGTCAAATAGTTCCGTTTGACCTACAAAGTCAAGGAAGATCTAGAAAAGAGCTTAATTCCCGAATGTTGAAAGAAGTGAAACTGAATCCTTTTGTTAGCGCTTCAGAATTAAAACTTTCTGCCGAAAAGCATCTTGGAAAAAAAGTGTGCGCAGAAGCAATTCGTACTGTGTTACGTTCCAACGATTTTAATGGTCGAATATTTCCGAAGTTACGAAGATGTGGTTAATCCATAACTGTCGTAAATTATTTCAACCAATAAGAATTGCCTAGACGTGTATACAAAAATCGATTTAGCTCAATCAATGACCTGAAAACTGTAGTAATGGCAGAGTGACTAAAAATCCAACCAGATTTTTGCAATAAATTAATGGAATCTATGCCACGACGTCTTCAAGCCGTTTTAAGCGCAAAAGGATATGCTACTAAATAATAGTTAAAAGTAAATAAATCCAAATACAAACAAAAATAAATGTATGTTTTTTTGCTTAGTTGCCATGGATGTATCGTTTTCACTCAAACTGGAGGCCCTTTTTGCAGGACATTCCCATTTTACGTTTGAGCCACTGTATATGCATGGTAACTTGATATAAATATGGATGTTTTTATTGTTATTCCGGTATTCAAGCAAATTAAAACTATTAGACATTTGAACCAGTTCTCTTGAATACTATGTATATATATAATGTTGACCTCCTCATTAGGAGCTACGACATTCTTAATGCTGAGTTGAGAAGTTGGAATAACTTATTAACGAAATACAAAGAAATAGATAAAACTGCTACATTAGAAATAAATTCAAAAAATTTCCGCTTGCCCGTCGCAAATGTTCACTGTGTGAAGAACGAACGTAAAATGGATTTGTATGTCGTGTATGGGCGAAACCAATTCATACAGATCGAACGCACATGTGTGTCGTGTATACCCACATTTAGCCCACATCACTTGCCATCAGAACACAAAGAACTTGTAAATGTACAGCAAGTGCACAAGTAAATCAATGTATAGGTGATGATATACAACCCAAACCCTGTCGAACATTTCAATCAATGAAGTATGAGTATGATAATGCGGACGTTCATAAGCAAGTCATGTATAAAGTGATCCCGAGTGGTTCAAAGTGGTTGGAGGATGGCGTCATGTGTAGAAGTTCACGCAAGTGCGGAAAGTTCTCTGATTAGCTTGTTAGTTCTCTGATTAACTTGGGAGTGGCCAGTAACGATTCTTTTACATATGACTCAAGCAGCTCATGACTTCCGGTCTTTGACCAAGTATCCTCTGGGTAGCCTAAGAACATCCGTTTGAAGGTGAGCTAAAGTGAGAAGGCGAAATATCCCCTACAAAGGGTTGTGCGCTGGGCTTGGGACCCGCCACGTAAAAAAACCAACCCATATAAGAATCTATCGAGCATATTGTGTGATAGATTAAAGCCCACCGTCAACAAACTGATTGGACCTTATCAGTGTGGCTTTAGACCTGGCAAATCAACAACCGACCAGATATTCACCATGCTCCAAATGTTGGAAAAGACCTCTTCGTCTATTTAAAATCTGCCTTCGACAGCACGAAAAGGAGCTGCCTTACACCCGCGTCGTTAGTTCTGCTTTCTCCAGACTGCACAAGGAAGCAAAGCAGATGGGTCTGGCGGTGAAGGAGGGCAAGACGAAATATCTCCTGTCATCAAACAAACAGTCGTCGCACTCGCGACTGGCCTCTCACGTTGACAGCCATAACTTTGAAGTCGTAGATAATTTCGTCTATCTTGGAACCAACGTAAACACCACCAACAATGTCAGCCTGGAAATCCAACGCAGAATAACTCTTGGCAACAGGTGGTACTTCTTACTGAGTAGGCAATTGAGAAGAAAAGTCCACGAACAAAAACCAAATTCTATAAGTCACTCATAATGCCCGTCCTGCTATATGGTGCAGAAGCTTGGACGATGACAATAAGTGATGAGTCGACGTTGCGAGTTTTCGAGAGAAAAGTTCTGCGAAAGATGTATGGTCTTTTGCGCGTCGGCCACGGCGAATATTCGGTGGAGCGAAGAGCTGTATGAGATATATAACGACATTGACATAGTTCAGCGAATTAAAAGACAGCGGCTATGCTGCCTAGGCTTGTCCGAATGGACGAAAACGCTCCATCTCTGAAAGTATTCGACGCTGTACCCGCCGGGTGGAAAAGGACCTACGCTTGAAATATCCAATTGGCGCCACGTAGCGAAAAGAAAAAACGACTAGCGCGCTGTTGTTAACTCGGCTATAATCGCGTAAGCGGTGTCTACGTCAATTAAGGAGAAGAGGTGGTTCAAAATTGTTCTCTATCGCTTCTTTGAAGAAATACGGAAATGCTTAAGTCATATGCCATGAGTCTTGGTTAGTTTCTAACCAGAATATGAAATGACAGCTGTTCATTGTAAAATCTATGAGCAAAGACGGAGTTTAGACGTTGTTTTGTCATTAATTATAATTTTTTGTACTCTTGCAACCAGTTGCTATCGGTTATAATAGACCTGTTGATCTTGTATCACCCAAAACTAATCGGTATACAGTGGCTCAAAGCTTATTTCATGCATATGAAATTCAAAATTTGAAATGTTATATTTTGACAACAAAAACGCGTATCGAAATAATTCAAACTCCTAGTTGTTAATATATAGTAAATGTGTAGTTTATAAAAGATACTCCATTTATTATTTATTACTTAATAGCTTATGTATGATGTATGAACAAAAAACAGGAAACAAATTTCATATCACAGCTTATATCATGCAGTGTACTTTTTACTAAAAATGTGATAAATGCTTTGTTTTAAACTTCTTTAATACTTAATACGATTTCCGTTAGCTTTTAATACAGCTTTTAGCCTTTCTGGCATGGACTGAACTAGTTTTTTTTAAACCTTCTGTTTCAATTTTGTTCCACTCTTCTAAAATAGAGCTTTTTAGCTGTTCCTTATTACTTATGCGGTGTTTACGGATGTTAGTTTTAAACAAAGACCATAAATTCTTGATCAGGTTCATGTAGATTCATTAAATGTTGTTAATTCCATATTAGCCAGGTCTGTCCTACTGACGATTGTATTTAGGATCGTTGTCCTGATAATTCCGGAAATTCTAACGCATCCCAAGTTTCTCGGCACTTTAAGGTAAATTTTCTATTAATATATTAAGATACAATGTTTTATTCATAACACCCTCACCAAAGACCGAATTTCCAACGCTGAGTGCAGACATACAGGCCCATACCATAACACTGCTACCACCATACCATACAGTTGGCCTAATGTTACATCTCTGAACCTCAGTATTGGATTTCTGCCACACGTAAGCCATTCCATCTGAGGTGAAAAGGTTGAATTTCGACTGGTTAGAAGTAAAAAGTAAAATATTAGTGTCCAGCTCCCTGGCAAAGGTAACACGGATTAGTTGTTTTTTTTTTTTTTTTTTTTTTTGATGAATGCCTTTTTTCGGGCTACTCGGTCAACCGCATGTAGTACCCGACGGACAGTTTCAGCATAAAATGATTTCCCTAGCTCCTCCTGAATCTTTGTAGTTAGCCTCGGGTTTTCTTTAATTTTACGCATAATTAAACGCTCGTTCGTCGCGTCACGTTCGTTGAAAATTTTATTTTGTGCGTTTCAGCTATGATTTTGAATGGGATATTCATGTACGAAACGCTAAACTATATTTTCCACAGTCACAATTTTTCTCACTGATTTTCAATTTCTGAAATGGTTGATAACCAATTCTCGCTGCTCAATGGTTGTACCTGACCCATTTTACCCAAACTAATACACTCAACACATTAAAACTTTCTTCGAACTATTACTGAATGCTAGCCCTTAGATTTAGAAATTCCCGGTACCGTTACCCACGCAATGGGGTTCCCCCACAACATAGACAAGAGGGTGCATGAAATAAGTTGTGAACAAAGTTCCTGGAAGGAATTTCTTGACTTTGTAGATGTAAGATTGTCCTTCCAATAACTTTGTCTTGCTTACTATATTAGTAGAATATTCAACCTATTTTTTTGAGTATCTTAGTTTCCATTTTATGGCAATATAAAGTGATAAATTTATATCTATATATACAAAAATGAAACCCGTTTTCCGTTGTCGCGACATCAGGCGTAAATGGCTGAACCGATTTGGCTGATTTTTTTTTTTTTTGTAGTTTTCTAATACTCTGCAAAAGGTTCTTATGGGAAAAAATATTAAGAAAATCTCTCAGAGAGATTGAAAAATATACATTTAATTTTGCATATACGAATGTAAACGTAATTCAATTTAAAGGTTAACGTCATTCTATTTAACAAAAAAAAAATTGTGGTAATCTGTTTTCATGTAAATTTTATTAAGTTTTTGATAAATTTCGTTTTTTTTTAAGACTAAGAAGTTTTTTGTCTGCTAATAAGTGTTTATTAATCACGGCAAGTTCAGTTCACTTTATATCGATTTTTGGTAACTTTTGGTGACTATACAATATTACAATTTGGTATACATGGTAAATTTGATATCTTTTTATTTTAAGTCGGATTTTCGTTTTTAACAATGCCACCAACCAGACGTACAAACTTAGGCCGCAGATCTCGAAATACGGAACGTCAAAGAAATATAAGAGCAAATCAAACAAATGAGCAACGCGAAGCGCAAAATGAATCGAAATCAACATAGAAATGTTGTATTTAATCCCCACAGAGATGCATTCTGTTATAATGTGCCAATTGATTACAGTTCAGAATAAATTGTTGCTATTGGACTAATGTATATTGTGTGTCSACATTGCAATGCATTGAAATTCAAAATTGAAGCCCCTGGATTGTGTTGCRCCAGCGGCCAAGTCAAATTGACGCCATTGGTACCACCACCAAAGCAACTACATTCATTGGCTTCTGGAAATGGGCCAGATTCTAATAATTTTTTGATTCATATCCAGCAATACAATAATTGCTTTCAAATGGCATCATTTGGCGCAACAAAAGTTATTCGAAACAATTTTATGCCTACTTTCAAGGTAAGTAAGTATAATGACAAACAATTTTATTTAGTTTTACAACTATGTAGCTGGTGCAAAATATGTTGAGCCAGTGTTATGTAGATGTGTTTACAAAGTGTTCCAATACTTGGTAAAGCCTACTACCTAAAGCTGCCATGGAATTCTACTGTTCAATGTTGAGGTTTAGTTTTAATTTGAAATGATCTATAAAGTAGTTTGGCAGTTTTTTGCGAGCCACWTGGTGGCACAAACAATTTGCTATACAATTACCTAAATATATATTTATGTTCTTGCAGATTCAGGGTCAAATATATCATCGAACAGGTTCCTTATTGTCAATGCCTGATGAAGACTATAAATTTTTGCAAATATATTTTATGGGCGAATCAGCAAGAGAAGTCGATCAGCGTTGCGCAGACAACAACTCAATGAAAAGATCCATTGTGGAASAACTTCAAACATTTTTCCATCAACACAATGAATTAGTTGCATTATTCACAACTGCATTAGACCGCATTTTATTAGATAATCATAAAATTGTCATCAGAGCCGATAAGGCGCCTACAGGAAAATTTAGAAAACCGAGACATTGTTTTACTTCGGCGAAACGATCAACTTCAGCATGTGTTACAATATCCTTTCCTATTTTGGCAAGGTGAAAACGGCTATCATTTTTCAATTAAGATGATAAATCCAGTTACAGGTAAATTAATTAACAATGTATGTTTTCAACATTAAAATATATGTTTACTAACTGAAAATTTATATTATTAAATTATTAACAAAAAAAAAATTGTTTATAGGTGCTGAAACAAACAAAAAAGTTAGTTCAATGAATTCATACAGACTGATGGTTCGGGAAAATGAAGACAATCACATCTTAAAGTGTTGGCGTCTATTTCACCAATATGCTGTGGATATGTACATATGTGAAAGCTGAAACTGAACGATTAACATTTATCAGGTGGAACCAGGCAAAACTCCGTTCCGAGGAATATATTCATCTTCGGGATGCCATTAATGCTGATGGAAATGCACAGAATGTCAGCTATTCTCCCAGCAACATACGTCGGAAGACCGCGACATATGCATGAATATGCTCAAGATGGTATGTCCTATGTACGACATTATGGCACACCAGATTTGTTTATCATATTTACATACAATCCAAAGTGGACAGAAATTCAACAAGAATTATATACTAGCCAATCACCTACTGATCGCTACGATATCACTGCAAGGGTGTTCGAAATGAAAATAAAATCACTCACGGATTTTATTGTTAATCGCGTGTTCGGCGAGACGCGCTGTTGGATGTACTGAATTGAGTGGCAAAAACGCGGACTGCCACATGCACATATCCTCATTTGGTTGGTTGAGAGGATAAGACCGAATGAAATTGATAATGTGATAGCAGCAGAAATTTCCGATAATAATGAAGACCCACTGTTACATGAGGTTTTTACATAAAATATGATACATAGTCCACATGGAATAGTAAATCCCATTTCTCCGTGTATGGTTGAAAGAAAATGCTCAACACGCTACCCAAGTCAATTAGTAATAGAAACTATTACTGGAAATGATGGATATGAACTTTATCGCCGTTTTGTTTTCCGAACAACTGCTCAATATTGGTAATGGTATTATTGCTGTTGCCACATCATCTAGATATATTACATTCCCTACCAATTTTTGTAACTTTTGTGAATCAAAGTCCGAACTCATGGAGATGGTTTTCCAAACATTGCTCAAAATTACATAAATCACATTTGGTTAAGCGAACGTATTATATTGGTCACAAAAAATGTTGATGTGAATGAAATGAATTTTCAGATTCAAGAGAAAATAGCTGGCGAATTGAAGAATTACAAATCAGTTGATTCCATTAGTAATGAAGATGAAGTTGTCAATTATTCAACAGAATTTTTAAATTCGCTGGAATTGCCCGGCTTACCACTTCAAAATATGCCATTAAAAATCGAATCAGTTGTTATTATGTTACGGTACATATACCAGCCACGTCTGTGTTATGATACCCGGCTTGCGGTGAAAAAATTATTGAACAACGTCATCGAAGCAACAATTTTAAAAGGGAAGTACAAAGGCGAAGATGTTTTAATCAAACGCATCTCTATGATACCGCATGACATACCATTCAGCTTTAAACGTTTATAGTTTCCAGTGCAGCTTGCATTTGCAATGTCAATAAATAAATCGGAAGGGCAGTCGCTAAGTGTATGTGGCATCAACCTAGAAAATCCATGTTTCACACATGGCCAATTATATGTCGCCTGTTCCCGTGTCGGTAAACCATCAACATTACTTACTTATGCGCCAGAACATAAAACTAAAACTATAGTTTAACAAAAAGCATTAGAATAGAGGGAAGCAGTGAAGGGTATAGAGGCTATTAGTAGCTTTCTACAGCGCGCGAGTTACATTCCCATACTCTAAACACGTAGTAATTATATACTTATATGCATATAGTAAATGCTTAATATCGTACTAGCATAATAATATCGTAATAACATATATGTTCCAAATTCAGCTAAGTTGAGTTGAGAGTGAGCGTATCCCTGTTATGTGAACGCCAACTCAACTAAAACGTACATACAAAGAATGTCCATACAGTTAATAATAATATTAGAATTAAGCACACTAACAAATAATGCTAGTACAGGCTTAGGAGTAAGAAAGCTAACAAGGAATGTCAATTAGGTCAGTCTTAACATTCACTTTAATAAATGCGGTTGTGAAAAAGAAGGCCGAAGCTCTTTTTTATTCTAAAACCATAACTGGCGCAGTCGGGTACACTTTGATCAAAAGATCAAAGAAATCGAACAAACGCATTGCCGAAAATATTTAAAAAGTTTAAAATAAATACTTAAAAATATACATTTTACGAAAAAAAAGAAAAGTGCGAAAATAGTACAAAGTTCTAAAAGAAAAAAAACGAAACTAAAGTGCAAAAAGTTTAAAATAAATACTTAATATATAAAGCAAAGCTTCAAAAAAAAGCAACTGCATTTTTACAACCGTTTTGTGAAAAAAGCAAGTTAAAACAAATAGTTTTGCAGAACAAACGAAACCAATTAGCAGTTTCAAAAAAAAACAAGGGAAAAATATAAAAAAATTACATGGTAACAAAATTTTAACATAAAGTAGTAAAGCGTGCTACCTACCTTATTCTTCATTATTAATTTCTTTTATCGAAAAAAAAATTTTAATATTATTAAGGTGTCAAAAATATAAATATATTGAAAAATTTAAAAAAACTTTAACAAATGAAATAAAACGAAAACCATATTAGGAAAAAGAGTCTAAATATTTTTGTGAAAATTAAACAATCCTAAAACATAAAACAGACAATCGAATTTAACCATCAAAATAAAACAAAACACGCTAAGTAATAGTGATTATAGTGAAAATATAATATCGAAAACAGAAAAAAAATATTTATGTGTTACCAAAAGTTAATAAAAACAAAAGGCTAAATCTAAATTTCTAAAAGCCAAGACTATATATATAGTTACGCGAAAATAATGACAGCGGTCTACAACTAACTAAGTGCATGTGCATCCAGAAATAGAAACAAAATACAAATAAAAAAGTTTCTCGAACGTTTAAATATTTCTAAATAAAAGGAGATTACATCTTTACTTTTACGTAACTGGTCCAAAAAGGAATACTCCGCGGACCACATCTTCAAACCACAAGTAAAACGACTTATTTACAACTACTACAACAATGGAGAATGTAAACCAAACTATCGCTGAGCTGGAGAGGGTTATCGCAAGCAAAGAAGAATTGCTATACACCCAACAACATGCTCAACATCTACTACAACTACTACAACTACAAATGAACCAACAACCACAGCTCTACAGATTTCACATGTCACCAAGGGACATCATGGACCAATTCCGGAGAATAAGGCCACTAGACGATCATCACAACCAAAGGCGTTTATCAAAGCGGTCGAAACCAACATTTCTCTCTGCGGCACAGACCAGGAACCCATCCAACATTGTACCAACATTAAAGAAAAGAAAAAATACTGGGCACCGCTGGAAAAAGAACGAGAGAGCTGGAGGACAACTCATCGTGGGAAACAATTAAAGCTAAAATTCTGCAAGGATCTCGTCCAAGGAAGACATATGCAGAGGTATTTAACTTGTGTAGGACGGTCAAAGTAAGTAACCTTAATGAATTATTTATAATTTTTGAAAAATGTAAGGCAGACATAAATGAAATATACATATTTGACCCTTTAAAACCGGGCATTTACAAACCTGAAAATGTAGATAGGGACCTCGTTGATATACTGTTAGAGAAAATCGATGGGCCTATAAGGGCACATATAAACCGAAACAGAAACATTAAATGATATAATCGTAAAATATTTAAAGTTAAAATTGCTTCAGGACAAAAGAGCCATAGAGTACAGACATCGAAAATATGTCGATAAAAACAAAGTAAATTACGAAGGTTTCTAGAAAAATAATAGATCTTATGAATATAATAAAATTTCAGACAATAGGCAAACCAACCAACTAACGACAATAGACAACAAAGCGAGAACAATAACAATTAGATACGTAATACAAATTTTAATCGTAACAATTACAACAATCGGAATAACTACGAATACGGGTACAACAGTTCTACAAATAAAATACAACCAAATTTACCGAGACAAACTAAAAGCTCTCATATGAGCGTCGATTACAATCCAAGTACAAGTCGTTTGGTTAATAATTCGAATTTAATGGAAATTGGCAATGGTGAAGAAAAATAAGTAAATTTTTTAACACCGCCTCAAACCCTCAACTCCCCATAATAACAGTAACAATAGGAACGACAGAATTAAATGCCTAATAGATACAGGTTCAACAACTAGCATTATAAAGCMAAACGCCCTATTCGGAAATTTTCAGAAGGAAAAACTTTCCAAACCGTTATGCTATGGAACTATCAACGGTATTAACGAAATAAAATATAAAATTGTAACACCTTTTCCGAAAGAGTTTAACGTCTTAGGTACTTTATCATGGAAAGTAATAGATTTTAATAGCAACAAATACGAAGCTATTATAAGACAAAATTTTCTTATTCCTTTTAAGGCTAAAATTGATGTAGAAAACACATTTATTAATATATTATCAAATATAATTCATTTGGATCAACGAATTCCTTATGAAAAAACGGAAATTTGCGCACTCGAATTTAGTGATATGAAAAACTTAAACTTGAATCATTTAAATATCGAAGAAAGTCAATCGATAAAAGATCTATTACAAGAATTTATCGAATTATTTTTCAAAGAAGGAGATAAACTTTCTTTTACGCATGAAATCAAACATCAAATTATTACAACAAACGATAGACCCATTTATTCGAAAATTTATANGATATGAAAAACTTAAACTTGAATCATTTAAATATCGAAGAAAGTCAATCGATAAAAGATCTATTACAAGAATTTATCGAATTATTTTTCAAAGAAGGAGATAAACTTTCTTTTACGCATGAAATCAAACATCAAATTATTACAACAAACGATAGACCCATTTATTCGAAAATTTATAGGTATCCACAAGTTCGTGAATTAGAAATACAAAAACAAATAAAAGAAATGTTAGATCATAATAT